TGGAAACAGGTCATTGTGACCTTGGCTACATCATAGTCCATGTCCATTCTGGGGTGCATCAGTTCGGTTCCCATTCTACCGATTCCACCAGCAAGTCAGATCTACCCCCGTCTCCTTTTCCCCTCGTTTTCGGAAATATTCTCGGCCGGATCCTTCGCCCCTGTTTTCCTACCTTCCTTGAAAACTATACCCAGAGGATGTGGAGTGGATCAAGCCACCCAGACTACCGGTATGTGGCTGAAGGGTGCATGCATGTTTCAATTGAACTGCTGAGAAACAGATCGGGGGGTGTGATCCGAATGGGTACAATATATTAAGTTGGGGGTCATAGCCCCTTCTGAGAAAGGAGGGAAGCAAGCCAAAAAGGACATACGTTCTCACGACCTCTGCATCCTATGGGCAGCAGAACCGAAAAGATTCAACCAAAGTTTGTCCGTGCCCACCTCCTACCAGTGGGGTGTGCAAAGAGATTATCGCAGAGATTGCATGTGATGTGATTCCCGTCAAATGACAACACAAAGTACGTGAATATATTCCCGCCATTTGTCAAAAAAGTATGTGTAGGGTTCAGCCTCCTGATGAGTCGGTGAAACTCCGACGAAACAGTTTGTCACAGCCCCTCTTTTGTGTCCTCTTCTCCCTCTCTGCCGACGGTTTACCGGGCAGTTCTGTTTGTCGACATATATCTATATATATCGTCACAAACAGAACTGCCCGGTAAACCGTAGGCAGAGAGAGAGAAGAGGACAACAAATGAGGGGCTGTGACAAGCTGTTTCGTCGGAGTTTCACCGACTCATATATATATATATATACTGTCACATAACTATGAACTAAAAGAGCGCACTTTGGGAAACAAACGGCAGAAACGAAAAACAAGACAAACATGAAGGGCACACTGAAACCATTCATTTTCCGCTTTCTTCTTTGAACTCCCCCTTCACCGTGCCTCTCACGTACAAGGCTCGCCACATTGACGAAGTTGAGTGCCAGCTGCCCCCATCCCCATGTCCCATAACGGTCCAATTGTACGCTGTGAGAAAGAGGCAGAGTAAACACAGGGAGGAGAGATGGAGAGCAGACAAACAAAGAATATATATATTGTCACAGATATATGTATATATCGTCAAACAGAACTGCTCGGCAGAGAGGGAGAAGAGGACATAAACGAGGAGCTGTAACAAACTGTTTTGTCGGAGCAAACTCCGACTCATCAGGAGGCTGAACCCTCCACAGTCTGCAGAATCCACTAACTGAGTACACTGTAAGTGGTAATCCACCTTAACCCTGGTTGTAGTTAAGCATCAACGACTTCCCGACAACTGATACCCCTCTGAGGAGGTGGGCACCAACCGGTGCCCTCAAGGTATGTGCGACGAAAACGAAAGCAGGCTACCCCCACCAGATGGAAAACTCTGCAGACTGCTGATTCACAACCCCATCGCAAGCCAGCCATCACAGCCAGAAAATACACTCCAGACACTAGAGGCACAGCATAGGTGCATAGTGACGGCCCTATATACTGTCACATTATCACATAACTATGAACTAAAACAGCACACTTTGCGAAACAAACGGTAAAGATACAAAAAAAAAACAAAAAAAAAACAAAGACACTGAAACTATTCATTTTTCTCGTTCTTCTTTTAACTCCCCCTTCACCTTGCCTCTCATGTACAAGGCTTGCCATGTTGATGAAGTTGATATATATATATATATGCCAGCGGCGTGTCTGGAGTGTATTTTTTGGCTGTGACAGACCTTTCTTTGTTTCGTGGATGTTTTGCTGGCTTGTGATGGGGTGTGAACCGACAGTCTGTAGAGTTTTCCATCTGGTGTGGGTGAGTGATAGTCTACTTTGATTTTGGTTAAGGTAGATTATCATTTACAGTGTAATCAGTGAGGGGATTCTGCAGACTGTTGAGGGTTCAGCCTCCTGATGAGTCGGTGAAACTCCGACGAAACAGTTTGTCACAGCCCCTCGTTTGTTGTCCTCTTCTCTCTCTCTGCCTACGGTTTTACCGGGCAGTTCTGTTTGTGACGATATATATATATAAATAATATGATTATATACATGTACAGTACACAGCAGTACACACAGACAGAGAGGCGCACACACTCTTCAGCTGGATACACAGTTGAAGAAGTGCACCGCGAGACACATATGACTGCTGACAGATGCGGCATAAGAGACAGATGCACTGTGCCAACGCAAGGTGGTGGGTGCATTTGCTGCAGAGGCTTCCAGTAAACACGGGGAACACAGACACTTGCACAAAGAGTGGCGGAACACACCTATGTGAGCCTGCTGGTCACACAAGGAGTATTCAATCCTGTTGTTTTTGGTTGTCGTTTTTATAAAAGGGAGGGAGGACTATTTCTCGATTTACGTAAGTCATCCATGCACAGGGGTCATGTTAATCGTTCCAATTTTAACAGACGTTCTTTCCGTAGGACAAGGGAGGAGGAGTATCTGATCTATCTATGAGTTAATAAGAAGTCTGAAAATTGTATCTGAATTCCTTCCACTCTGCTGTGTATGTTATGTGATGTGGAGTGGCATTTTTGCACACTTTCCCACAAAGAAAAACAAGTATTAATTACTGACTGAAATTTGCTATGAACGGCTCTTGGACAACTGACCACGAGAGCCCAAGAGGACTGAGATGGGAAGATGGGGGGCAGTGGATATATAAAGGTCGACAGAACGACAGGAGGAGGCAAGGATGAAGATTGCCAACAACAACAAAACACACACACACACACACACACACACACACACACACACACACACACACACGCACACACACACACACACACGCACACACACACTTGCGAATGTTACCTAAGCTAGAGTGTGCCGATGACCTGTCTTCGGAGATCATACCTGGCATAGTGTAACTTGCCATGGGGTGCATTGAAGCACACACATCAAAACACACACACACACACACACACCGAGAGAGAGAGAGAGAGAGAGAGAGAGAGAGAGAGAGAGAGAGAGAGAGAGAGAGAGAGAGAGAGAGGACAAAATGAAGTTGCAAAGAATGTCCACAATGTTTTATTAATATGATCTCGAACTGATCCGTGTACATTGAAAATCAGGTTGAAATAACTGCGATAATTTTTTTTTATTAACCGTCAAAAATTGAAGTGTGGTGGCCACGGGGCCAGCCGACCCACCCACCTCGCAGACCCCCTCTCTTAGACTTACTCGCCTTCTTTGATAGGTTGTCGTTGTATGATCCATAGCAGCAGGTTGGCCAGCAATTTCAGAGATTTCAAGAGGTACGCAAACCTCTCTCCAACGGGCCACGTACTGAGGCTAACGTGAAAAAAAAAAGGAGAGGAGAGGTAGGTGGCTGATGTAGCCAGCGATCACAAAACTGTTGTCAACTTGCGATGAAAAAACAAAAACAGTAAAAAACAGGAGGCGCATTCAAGAACAGAAAAAAAAAAAAAAAACGCCGAAGAAGATGAGAAGAAGCTATCTTGCTTGCTGAAGCTATTTGATGCGGGGCTTCTTTTTGCTGCCTGCTTGTCCCAACACTGGACAACGCAGAGGCGCCTCTTTCAAAAGCATGCGATTTCACTAGCACACATGGCGGGCCACACCTGTTTTGCTTTCTACCTACCTATCTAACATCTCCTTTATCACACTCCCTGAATGCAGAAACAGAGCCAGATGCATGCACAATCTTGCAGGCACGTAAAGCCACACCGACCCACCTGAGAATCCCAAAAAAAAAGTTTAGCGACCTGCCAATACTTCTGCTAACACCCTCACATGCAAACGAGAGGCTGAACTTAGACGCCTTCACATGCAAAAGACAGGCTGAACGTTTTTCTGCCTTGCCTTCAGTAAAGGTCGTTTCTACGCACTAAGCATTCTGTGAAATGTGTGCGTGGGCTGTGTCTGCAGAGAGGGGGAGGGAGGGAGGGAGGGAGGGAGGGAGGGAGTTAGGGCCACACACAAAGCTTGGTTAAGCTGATCTGAGCCTTTTTTTTCTGTCGCCACGTCGTCACCTACTAACAAATAGCCTCAAATCTTTCTGTCTATTCGCTATTGAGGAATGAACCTCCTTCCTGCCAGCGTCTGTGTGTTGGGAAAAGACAACACACAGACGATTGTCACGATGATGAGCCTGGGCACTTATGTCATGTCCCGTCATGTCCTGTCATGTCATGTCAGTTGCAGTCACCACAACTACCAGGATGACTGTAACAAGATCAGGCACTCAAGGTTCCCCAGCTGCAAAACTGAACTCACAAATGATTACCGCCACACGCCCCCCATATGCGGGCAGCAAGAGCACAGCAACACATCGTGTGTGTGACAACACGTGCTCCAGCACACATATATGCTCCACAACCGGATTTGAAATCCATCTTGTGGCTATCATGGCCACCTTTCGACGGTGCAAGTGAAAAGCCCAGTTTCCGGGTCGAGGTCGACACCAATGGTTTCTGCACTGGACTCGCTGACCTAACCTGGCCTGGCAAAGCCTCTTAGGCTTCATCAGATGGTCTGGCGACCACCTACATGCCCCCCCCCGGCCCCCCCCTCAACCCTCCCCACCCTGCATCTGTTTCTACTTTGGGGCACAATGACACCGACTGCACCCCAGCCCTATCATATTCAGGGCAGGAGCACAATTATACCGCACCGCAGCCCCCTCCCCCTCCCTGCCTCTTCCCCTCCATTCCCTTGTCTATCCGTCCATCAGTAGGCAGACAAGCACAATGACACCTAACGGCACCCCACCATTCACATACTCAGGCGCATCCACCCTGACAAAACAGGGCACTTATGGCCCTGACTCCGTTCTATTCTAAGGGAGCATCCACTCCATCCCCCAGCTTGATAAGCATGTCTGACGGGAAGTTTCCCAATTCCAATCTTGTGAGCGTCAGGTTGACACCAGTGGCTGGCAGTGGCATGGGGCTTGCCTTTGTCTCCTGAATGCAGTGCAGCCTTCGAGTGGACAAACACTGCCCAATTGAAGAATTCCTAGTACTAAACACCCAAAGCACACGCAGTGGGTTTGCATCATGCTCTCTATCCCACAACTCACCTCACACCTTCGACCTGGTAGGACCTCCTTTCGACTCCAAGGTAGAAAACGACTCCGCTGTCAAAGAGGAGGAACGAGGGAGAAGAGGAGTGCAAGTCAGCAGAACATGCGTCCAGCCAGCCATAGATCACTTGACGTAGGATGAGATACAAGTCCTCAGCAAGTGACGAATCTGGACTGACGACGTGTCGGGTTCGGAAGCATGTCTGGAGAGCCCACCAGCACATTAACTACGTGTCCTGTTTGGAATCATCGTCATGATGTGATGGTTGACTTGAGCTTCATTCGCCCGATAGATTCACCAAGTGAGTGCTGCAGAGTGCTGGCTGGCTGAATCATGTCTGTGGACTCCCACTTGTCGTTTCTTGTACGTCCGCCAAGCAAAGCGCTGTGAAACCTGATTTACCACCATCAAGGAGTGAGGCTCTGAGAGTCTTGTGAGTTCAAGAGGCACCTGAGTTTCAACTCTTGGTTCAGCGGCGAATCAGCCGCTCGAGGGCTCTCTGTATACAGCGCTGGCGGAGAGATCAAATCAAAACGCTGTGACTGTCAGTGCTGTAGTGCTGTCACGGAGACCTGATATCAATACTGCACTGACAAGGAATGAATGTTGATTGAAGTTGCCACCGTGCATGCCGGGACGGGGTCCACTGAATGAGCACCAGCACCAAGTCGTTCCCCCGAGGCCTCTCTGCCATGGGATAGTCTGTCTGATCCATCCACGCCGCCATTGTAAGCAAGCGAAGGCAGAGTGAAATTCAATTTGAAATAGTCTGATTAATGAATGCCCGCTGTCCTTGACAGGTACGAAAGGACTGAAAGAAGAAGGGATGAGGACTGAAAGAAGAAGGGATGGTGATCAGCAGGATCGTCACCTATCCGACCCAGCAGCTCGAGATACAACGATACTCACATGCCACGGCATCCCGTGATGGTTAACCTGCCCATCAGGTGATATAACGATGACTGATGTGCATGAACACCGGCATTTTTGTCCAGGGGCCGGCACAGAATAAAGACGGGGGCTTCTTGGACAAACTTCAGCAGATTACAGAGCCGGCGGTGAGATTTCCTCCTGCCACTCTGAAAGATGCATACCTGTTTGTGCGTTCCGTGCACCTAAGGCTGCCTTTGTCTCTCTTCCTCTGATGATGATCAGCCTGGCGCCTCCTCGTTCACATTCTCTCGCATTCTGTCATTCATAGGACTGATGTGGCTGTGGTCTACCGAACGGAAAGCTGAGCAAGCAGAAGCACACACTTGGTATGTGGCCTCTTACAGGTGGTACGGACAGGGAGAACAAAAACTGGTTATACCACCCAGCGGCACCCACCACTCATGCCGAGCGGCCAAGCAAGCGACTTCGGAGTCGACAATCAGTAGGCCCCCACAGGCTCGGTGACGACGCAAATGGGAAACGGGCCCTGCCCAGTTGGTACACCCATAAATTGTTGACATACGGACCCAAGTTTGAATCCAGAAACAGTCAGATGAACAGAACAAAAAGAATTCTGAATTACCTGGGCCGGTCAGTTCAAGGATGGTATCTCAAGGACGTCGCTCTCTCTTAACAAAACGGTCCCTGGTCAGGTCTGGTTGAGCTACTGGCCCAAGCTCGGCTCTGGCAACAAACACCCTGCCCCGCTTCCCCTCCCCCCCCCCCCCCCCCCCCCCCCCCCCCCCCCCCCCCCCCCCTCCCTCCTAGTCCGAAATCAAATTTGGGTAATCGGACAACCATAATGGACCTCCTGTGACCTGCTTGAAGCCAACTAACACACACACATAATTTACAGCAAATCCTTCCGGCGCGCGCACACACACACACACACTTGTTGTGTGACACGTGGCATGTGCATGTTGCATCAACCAATCAATCATTCAATCAATCATGCCCGAGTCAAACCAATCAATCAACGAATCAATCAATCAGTCGGTTGATCAAAGCACACGTGATCATGAAATCAATACTTTTAATTGGCCTAGCGTATAGCTAGCTCACAGCTTGCTGTGTGAACACCTAACACCTAACACCTAACAACCAGCCTTAACAAAATCCAAGTAAAACTTTCAAGTTCGACAAATTGTGTTTGCGGACAGACAATCCAATTCAGCAGCCACGGCTGTCATGAAACCAACCATTCACAGGCCTCATCACACCACATGCCGTCTCCTTGTGTGGCAAGGTGGCGGGCACACATTGGTGTGGTATGGTACTACTACTGTAATTATGCCAAATTGCCTGACTTCACACAATCTTCTAGCTCCAATGTGCCGACCCTCGAATTCCACACTGCTAGAATGTCATTGTGCCAACCAATTCAACTCAAACCGCTTCACCTGATCAGAGAGAGAGAGAGAGAGAGAGAGAGAGAGAGAGAGAGAGAGAGAGAGAGAGAGAGAGAGAGAGAGANAGAGAGAGAGAGAGAGAGAGAGAGAGAGAGAGAGAGAGAGAGAGAGAGAGAGAGAGAGAGAGAGACAGACAGACAGACAGACAGACAGACAGACAGACAGAGAGAGAGAGACTGACCATCATCTCAAGCACTTGCTCAGCGGCACAGTTCACATGGGAGGAGAGGAGCTCAGGGCGCATTGCTCGGCCTCTTTTAGTACTTGACACTCACGTGCTCCAACGGGAAAGCAAGCACAGCCAAGGTGTCTTTTCGTCGCTGCGTGCACTCCGCAGTCTAGGTTTTTGGGGCAGCTTCCAGGAATTTCGTTGCAAGAGCCAGTGTCCTTAATCGTGGTTGCTTCTTTCTCTGGTGATCGTGCATCCGCCTTAAGATGTCGTCAAGGGACCTCGTTGCCTCCACGATCGTTGGACCTTTGTTAAGCATAACACACTCTGCTCTCTGCAGATGACACACACCAGAAGACGACCCACCGGATAACGAAGGGTCATGGACAAAGTAATACTAGTCGGAAAGGTGAACCCTAGGCGCCGGTCAAGGAACAACCAACCTGAAAAAAGAGCACAGAAAGTGTCCGACGGAGCTCAAAACAGACGTGAACAGACTCAACAGACGTGATCCATGCCATTGCCTTGCATTTAGGGAGGATCACATCTGTTCACGTCGAACAGATGTGATCGCACAAAGTAAAGCTGGTAGGTGTGGGAGGGTAAAGTGCATCACACAAAGTACAGAGACAGTCCGATTTGCGGAACAGTCACGGCGAACACAAATTCACCCTGAACTAGGGAGGGACTAACATTCCCAAACTCGTGTTGCTCCTAAATGTGCGCCTGGCAGGCAGACAAATACGTGTTCTACACTTCAGTGCGCCTTCGTGGGAAGAAGGTTAGGGTTGAGGGGGCGGGATGGTCCAAAAAGCAAAGTTTCCGAAGCCTAGGTGCATCGGGTATCTCTCTTTTTTTTTTTTTTTTTTTTTTAATTTTAAATTGGACCATTTCTCAATTAGTGTGTGTCATCCTTGCGCCGGGGCCATGATAATCTTCCTTCTCTGTATCGTTCCAATTTTAACGGATGTCCCGAAGGACAGTGCATCATCGGGTATTTCTACCAATGAACAAAAGGCAAGATCGCAGCATAAACTGTGGGTGGTCCACAAAGCAAAGTTTCTGATCAGTTATCGCAACCAATGAACAAAGGGCCAGATCGAAGCATAAACTGTGTGACTCTCCCTCTTCCCCACATGGCGGAACTGACTGAATGACTTAGAGACTACACGCCTGCGGTAATCATAAATCAAACAACAACAACAAGAAAGTTTGTAACTGGTCCGCTCCTTGAAAACAACAACAACGACAACAACAACAGCAACAACAACAACAACAACAACAACAACAACAACAACAACAACAACAACAACAACAACAACGACAACAACAATAACAACAACAACAAAGGGAAAAAACCAGAAAAAAGAAAGGAAAAAAACAAACAGACAGAGCCTTGTGGTTCCGGCTTCTTATCCATTGTGGGAAGCATCAGTCCGGTTCCTTCTTTTTATTATTATTATTATTATTATTATTATTATTTGAAAAAGGAATTGGACCATTTCTCGATTCATGGGTGTCATCCTTGCACAGGGGCCGTGCTAATGTTCTCTGTATCGTTCAAATTTTAACGATGTCCCGAAGGACGCATCAGTCCGGTTCCTATTCCGCTGGCAAGAGAACACACACAGACGCTTCTCCCCATAATGGTTGAGAGATCTGAGTGGGCGGCATTGATTACTTCCAGCTGGAAGGATCTACGTCTTCTCACCCCTGCTTGAGACAACGGAATTCACTCTCTCCATTACGGTTGAGAGATCCGAGTGGCCCGCACCTTAATCTGGCATGGCCCGTACGTAGTTCACACTGCTCTGCTCTGGACATCGTTAGACAACAACGGAATTACAGTAACTGTTTGTGGGTTAGACAGACAGACTATATAAGTACAGCAACTGTGGATCACACACACACAACAATGTACAAAAGTTCTAGATTGATCCGCCCCCTTTGTGAGGTCTGTTACCCACAGCTATGAATTTACTATACTGCAAACCTACAGTAACTGCGGGTCAAAAGGACTACAACCGAGGTACAGCTAAGAGACGATGACATACTGAGAAGTCCAGACTGGTGCTCTCCTTCGTACGTGCTGTGATAAAGACCATTGGACTGAAAACTACAGAACCACTGTGAGGCAAACAACAATGTACAAAGAACTTGAAAGAAGCATTAGACTGATCCTTTTGCTGTTTTTTCCAACACACCATCTGAACCTTCGAATATGGAAAATTGGAAATGTATCAGATAAATAAACGTTATTTTCCCAGGTAATTCAGAAGAGCATATTTATTTTTGTTAATCTGGCTAAATCTGGATTCGAACTTGCGTCTGCACTGTAACAGTTCATGGGTGTACCAACTGAGCTCACTTTGCCTTGTGGTAGGCGTTTTGATTTTGAATCAGCAGGTTGCAGGTTCGATGCCTGGAGGGAGCGATTGATTTGCAATCTTCAGAACCATTGGATTTCACGCTTGGAGGAAATGATAATTAAGCAATGTACAAGCGGACCCGCCGCGGCTCCGCCTGCGGCGAGAAGAGCAAAGATTGTAGGAACTGAGGTGGGGGGATGAGAGAGAGGGAGATAGAGAGAGAGGCAGAGAGAGTGAGAAAGAGTGAGAGAGAAGGATGAAAAAGGTGGACTTCAGGAATACGAAATATGTATATACATGTATCTTTTCCGTTGTGTGCCACGTGGCACGCTGGTGTGCGCTGCAAAAAAA